ACCTGGGTGCAAAATCAGACTTTGCTCTCTCTCTAGTGAAGTCCAGTGGTAAATATTCGTACAGGACTCTACGGTTATCAGACACCCAGATTGCTTCTGTCTCTGCCATGCAGTCCTCACCGTGGACTCTGACTTCACTACCCCGCATGGTATCCGGGCTCTTGCCCTGACGTCTGCATTTGTCTTGCAGAAAGATGATAACAAGGGAGTCATAGGAGCTTCTTTCTTTAAGGACAGTTCCTTTAACTTCTTTTCTTCTCTCATTAGCCAGAAGATGGGCTCACACCTGGCTGCAAGGGAGGCTGGGACACACAACCCTTATTCTTTGGTAGTCACATATCTACTCAAACATCAGAGGGGAAAAGGGGAAAATGAGCAATGGGGGATAAATAGAACTATTGCTATATTACATGGAAATTTACCTCGTTGAAAGGAAAAAAAGAAGGGGCTGGAGCCATAGCTCAGTGGTGAGAGGACAGAGGACCCGGGTTCCTCAGAACCCACATGGTGACTTACAACTGTCTCTAAGTCCAGTTCCAGGGCATTCAAGCAATCTTCTGGCCTCCACAGGTACCTGGCACCCATATGGTGTACAAGCAAGCATGTAGGCCCACTGCCCATATACACAAAAATAAATAAATGCTTATTTTTTAAAAGAAAAAGAAGGTAGCAGAGGAGAACCATTGTTTATTCTTTGAGACAGGCTTTCTCTGTGTCGTCCTGGCTGTCCTGGAACTCACTCTGTAGACCAGGCTGGCATTGAACTCACAGAGATCCGCCTGCCTCTGCCTCCCAAGTGCCAGGATAAAAGGTGTGCGCCACCACCAACTGGCAGGAGGTACCATCTTTTACTTACTTGCCATTTTATTCATTATAGGTGATGCTACAATAAGCTATATGTTTTCATACCACCTCCTTGGCATCAAGGAACTATTTTGGCTGGGTGAATTCCCAGAGGGGGAAATGCTGGGTCAGAGATCGTGTGCTTATTGCCAAATTGTTCTTTGAAGAAGTCTCATCAATTCTGCTCACCAATAATATCTTTCCCATACCCTGACCATATGCTGAGTTACAAAATGTTGGCAGCCTGAGGTGGAAAAGGATCTCTCTTTCTCGTAAATGCAGGATGATTGGTTTATGTTTCTGTTTTTAGGAGTCAGTTTAAATGTCATTTCTTTTTTGTTTGTTTTTCAGTTTAAATGTCATTTCTTTTTTGTTTGTTTTTTCGAGACAGTGTTTCCCTGTGTAACAGTCCTGGCTGTCCAGGAACTCACTCTGTGGATCAGACTGGCCTTGAACTCACAGAGATCCGCCTGCCTCTGCCTCCCGAGTGCTGGGATTAAAGGCATGTGCCACCACTACTGTCCGGCTTAAATGTCTTTTCAAGTGTATTAATGATCTATTGAGTGATGCTTTTGATTGATGATTTCTGAGTGTGTGGGGTGTGTGTATATATGAGCATGTGTGTGTACGCGTGTGCTTTCATTGTGAATTCTTCCCCCTCAGACACTCCCCTCCTTGTTTTTCTGAGACAGGGTCTCTCCCTGGCCTGGAATTCACTTAGCGGTCTAGGCTGACTGGGCCAGTAAGCCCCAGATACCTGCCTGTCTCTGCCTGCTCAGCCCTGAGATTATTATAGTCGCATGCTACTCGTTCTTTTAAATGTGAGCTCTGGAAACTGAATTCAAGTCCCCGTGCTTCTGTGGCAAGCAGTTTGCCAACTGAGCCATCTCTCTAGCCCTACTCTGGATTTTTTTGGGGGGTGTATAAGAAATAAAGTGGAGTGGAGACCTGAAGTTAGACCACCTCATTCACACTGGATAGGTCATAACTGTCTGTGACCCCATTTCCATATGGCTTTTATGGTTACCTGTACTCATGTACACCCACACATATACATATAATTAAAAATAAAAATAAGCTGGGTGGTGGTGGCTCATGCCTTTAATTCCAGCACTCAGAAGGTAGAGACAGGCAGGTCTCTGAGTTCAAGGCCAGCCTGGTCTACAGAGTGAGTTCCAGGACAGCAATGGGTACACAGAGAAACCTTGTCTTTAACCACCACCCCCCAATAAAATAAATAAACTCTTTGGGTTGTAAAGATGCCTCAGAGGTTAAAAGTGTGAACTGCTTTTGCAGAGGACCTGAGTTTAGTTCCCAGAAGTAAGGTAAGGATCTGGCTTCCAACTCACTCCCCACAAAGGCCAGTCACCGCTCACATTACCTACTGAATACACACCTGTTTTTGATACTATTCTAAAATGTGTATAGACAGGTTAGGGCTATATTACTTAATATACCGTAGTTATTATTATTATTGAGACAGTGTCTCACTATTAGCTCTGGCTGGTCTGAAATTTACACAGATACACATACTCCCTATTTCCCGAGTGCTGGGATTAAAGGCGTGCACCACCATACCTGGCAAAAAACCAAGATACATTTTTTAACAATTTGTTTTAATTTATGTATATGCTGTTTTGACTGCACCTACATTTGTACACCATAGCATGAAGTGTCCAAGGATGACATGAGGGGGATTGGAGCCCCTGGAATTGTAGTTCCAGACAGTGGTGAGCTGCCACGTGGGTGCTGAGAACCAAACCTGGGTCCCCTGGAAGAACAGCCAGTACTCTTAACCACGGAGTCATCTCTCCAGTACCAAAATAGAGATCTTCTTATTACATGTCCATTCTAACCTGTGTTAGTGATGAAGGCCTTAGCTTCTGGTGGTACTTCGCAGTTCTCGTTTTCCTCCACTTCTGTACACTCATGTTTCCAGAATGAATGGCAGCTATAAACTCATTTGCATTGGGATTGCAATTGTCTCCAAAAACGTCTCCAAAGACAAGACTCATGAATGGTGTGCAATATTGTTGTGTGACTTTTCCTGTGGACACATGAACATCCCAGATAGGGCACCAACAACAGATCAAAAAATGGTTCCACCGTCTGTCTGCCTGCTGCCTGCGCATTGGGAGGTGAAGCCATGCCTGTCTGCTTCCTGCCGTGATCATGAGCTAATTCTCTGAAACTGTAAACAAGCTCCAGATTAAATCCTTTCTTTTTTTCTTTGGTCTTTTGAGACAGGGTTTCTCTGTGCAACAGCCCTGTCTGCCCTGGAACTCGCTCTGTAGAGCAGGCTGGACCCAACTCACAGAGATCCGCCTGCCTCTGCCTTCTGAGTGCTGGAATTAAAGGTGTGTGCCACTACCACCTGGCTTGAATGCTTTATTTAAAACAAAACAAAAAGCCAAAAACAACCACAAAACAAAATAAACCGATTCCATCAAAGTGTGGTTTGGTAATCCTACGAGTGAATATACCAATAGGGGTTACTCAGGAGTGTAGTCTTCTCTCGGCTGTGATTGCTTAAGGCCTTTTGTCCCCTTGGTGAGCAGGCCTATGAATCCCTTGACTTTTTGAGTATCCTGAATCTTGCTAAGGTTTGTGAGTTTCCTGAACTATCATCATCACCAAAATAGTATGGAACTGGCATATAGAAAATGTCTGTATTTTAGGGCTGTCTCCATGGTTATGAGCACTTTGTTGCTCTTACAGAGGACCCAGGTTCAGGTCCTAAAGAGAGAGTAAGGGATTACTGGACCAACAATGACAAAGGGAAGTCCGCAGATATTCCGTTAGATTAAACACTGTGTCCCCAGCTACATTCTTATGGTGTCTTTCATGGGAACAACGAATACTTTTTTGTGTGTGGATGTCCCAGTTAAATTTGAATTTCAGAAAAACAACAAATGTTTTTGGCATAAATATACTCATGCAATAATTGGGACATATCTATGCTAAGATATTATGTGTTGCTTATCTGAAATTCAAATTTTGCTGCGTGTCTCTAAAGCTAGCTAATTTTCCAGAGCCCAGCACTCAGGGTGGCTTTGGTGCCAGAGTGCTAGCTCCTGAGGGAGAACTATAGCAGAGGTAGAGCAGAGGTTCTTAATCTTCTTGGCTTAAAAGTTTAACATGGGTAGACAGAGACCCTGACAAACCGCTTGTTTGAATATGAATTGGACCCACCAGACCTGTGTGTGGAACTCTTGGTTCTGGCCCCCAACCCCCTAACTTAGGGTGCTGTTTTGTTTGGTTATGGAACTTTCTGGGTGGGGGAGTGGAAGGAGGAAGTGAGTCACTGGGGGGTGGGGCTTGACGTTTCATAGCTCTAACTGAGTCCCCCAGCCTTCTCTAGAACTCAACGTGAGCATCTATGTGGGGCTCACTCATGCACCACCACACACCACACACCTTCCCAAGCACAGTAAACTCTCCTCTTTATGAACAAGATAACCCCCCTCCCTCCCTCCCTCCCTCCCTCAGGTTGCTTCTTGTCACAGCCAAAGAAACATAGCTGGTTACCATGCCACCCCCACACTGGAGGTGACTTGGATTTCCCTGGATGACTTGCTTCTGCAGTCTAAACATCTGCAGAGGATGAGAAACGTCACGTGACAAAGCCCTTTGTGATCTGGGCCTGTGGAGACTTTGGGACTTTACTTGTGGAGACTTTACTTGTGGAGACTTTGGGACTCAGGAATATTGGGCCTTGGGACAATGAGCCATGGCATTGTGAAGAGACAGGTTGAACTGTACTAGGTTACTGGGTGCCTCTGATGAGACTCATGTCTGAGTCCTTGGCACACTTACTCCCTTTTCCCTTAGACCCTGTCTCCTTTAACCAAACTGGAGGAACTAGAACTGGTGCCTTGTTAATTGGAGGCCCAATTCCTAAAGAGTTAATTAGTCATCTCCATGGTCACCTCAGTAACACTCAAAGGATATTTTATTTATTTGTTTATTGTGTGTGTATTACTGGGGGTTGAACCCAGGACTGTTAGGTCTTCAGTTTCTTTCAATGATGCCAATGTTCACCGTGTAAGTTTTAGACTTCTCTTGTTGAGTGCATTCAGAAGTGTGCTGTTCTGGGATCTGGCTAGGTGGGAGAGGTCTAGCACGGACAAGGCCTTGAGTTCAGTGTACTACAAAAATAAGATGTTATTTGCTGGTTTTAATGCATCAAAACTGGGAGTTATTTTTTTTTAAGATTTTGAATTTTATTTTGCATTGTTCAATTCAGGCACACAGAAACACAACTGCTAGTTAGTGAGTTTGTGTCCTAAAGTCTTGCTGGGTGTTTTTGCTCTGATGCTTGTTCGAGTTTGGTGCACAGTATATCATACATCTGAGAAAAGACAACCTATCTTCTCTCCTTCCTTCCTTCCTTCCTTCCTTCCTTCCTTCCTTTCTTCCTTCCCCCCTTTCCTTCTGTTCTTTCTTTCAGAAACAGGGTCTGTAGCTCAGATTGGAGTGTTTTTTGTTTGTTTTGTTTTTTCATGTGCATTGGTGTTTTGCCTGCATGTATGTCTGTGTGAGGGTGTTGGGTCCTCTAGAATTGGAGTTACAGGACAGTCGTGAGCTGCTGGGAATTGAACCTGGGGCTGGAAGGGCAGTCAGTGCTCTCAACCACTAGGACATCTCTCTAGCTCCCACACTGGTTTTTACCTTACTGAATAGCCAAGGATGACCTCGAACTTCTGATCCCCCTGACTCCACTCCTCAAGTTTCGGGATTGCAGACGAGTGCCTCTATCCTATTTATTCAGTGCTGTGGGTCAAACTCGGGGCTCTGTGCATGGTAGACTGGCACTCTGCCAAATGAGCCACACCATACCACCACAGCCTGTGGGGAGTGGGTGAAGTCCTGAGTGAATGTGTGCTAATGACATGAGCATATCCATATAAAGGACACCAGGGCCTTGGACCCATGGGAATGGCAGTCTTCCCCTGGCTAAAGCCCAGGTGTTGACAGTTGTGCAGAAAGTGTCAACCACACAGCCTTCTTCTCCCACTGATTGCAGCCTGAGATGGCTCCTCTGTGGAGAGCCCTACTGAGACAGCCTGCATACAGTAGACCAGCTGTACATAATGAGCCCACCTCCTCAATGAGCTGTATATAAACAGGAGTTTTGGGCTGCTGTTGCATCTTCATCCGAACACGAGGCCCCCCTGACCCCCAGCCTTTTCTTTCTTTTCACCCCAGTCAGGTCGGTCCCAAAGCTTGCAGATGGGGACAGCAGCCCAAGTTTACTTTTTCAATCTATACCTCACTCTATGTGTTTCTTGCTTAACTGTCCTGACTAGAACACAGTCGGATACTAAACTCCCAGGGCCAGCCAGGCATGATGATGTGCCCCTGGGAGATGGAGACTAGAGGGTTAGAAAGTTTTTGTTTTTTGTTTTTCAAGACAGGGTTTCTCTGTGTAGCTTTGGAGGCTGTCCTGGAACTAGTTCTTGTAGACCAGGCTGGTCTCAAACTCGCAGAGATCCAACTGCTTCTGCCTCCCGAGTGCTGGGACTAAAGGCGTGAGCACCACTACCACCTGGCTGAGGATTAGGAATTTAAGGACATCTTCAGCTACACAGCAAGTTTGAGGCCAGGCTGGATTGCATGAACACCTGTTTCAAAAAATCAAACACAAAATAAAAGTTAGAAGTGACCAGGGTGTACATCCTTATCCTGTACTTGGTCACTGGGCAAGCAACCAGTCTTTCATTGTGGTGGTGTTAGGTATGGGTTTCCATTGATGTCCTTAAGTGTATGGTGGGGCCAGATTTTATTAAGTTTTATTCAAACACAGCCAAGTGATTCATTTACATATAGCAATGGCTATAATGGCAATTGAGTCAGTGTGACAAAGAATATGGTTTTTAAGCTTAAAGCATTTCTCTTTGTTCCCTTTAAGAAGAAGTCCATGGGAGTGTTTTTTTTAAATTTTGGGCTAGTTTGCTAGGAAGCAATATATAATAAAAATGACTTTTACTCATAGACTATGGAAAGAGAATTTGTGAGCTGAAACACAGGAAGGACTTAGATCAAAGCCCAGGAGGAGAAAAGACGGAAAACAGAGAAGAAAGGGATGGAGTGAGATCAACCCTGTGTTTTGATTGGAGTCCCAGAAGCAGAGCGATCTAGAGACCTGTTCAATGCAGATGACAAACCATTCTAAAGGGTGGCCATGCAACGGCAGAGACCCACTTCACTGTCTGCTCTACCTCCCCAAGAAGGACCTCCTCCAGGGTCCTCACACTGAGCTGGGGAGGACAAGGGCTTCAGTGAGCAGGGCTGGAATGCAGCCTCTGCCCACTTCTTCACCAGGCCACCTGGAGAAGGCTCGATCTGCAGCGTGTCCTCTCTCTCTGTCTCTCAAATTACATTTATTTCTTTGTGTGTCTGAGGTGGGGGAGGTAATGAGTGTGCCACAGGGTGAGTTTATATAGGTCAGAGGCCAGCTTGCAGGAGTTCTTTCTCTTCTATTGTGTGAAACCCAGGGATCAAGTTCAGGTCACTAGACTTAGTCACAAGACCCTTTACCTGCTGAGCCATTTTACTGGCCCTAATCTGCAACTCTCAGAGAGAGAGAGAGAGAGAGAGAGAGAGAGAGAGAGAGAGAGAGAGAGAGAGAGAGAGAGAGATGCTACAAGTGTTGTGTGAACAAACTGTGGATATCAAATGCTTTAAGACCAAGATGTGGTTTGCAAACCAAAAGCAGGCATAGAAGGATGATAGTGCTGGCTGTGTAAATCGAAGAACACACAGGGCCCCTAGTTGAAAGTTACTATGTCAAGATGACCACAATTGTACTCTAAACGGAGCACCGGAGACTTTCTTAGTGTGTCACTAAAAAGGTGCCATACCCGAGAAGCCAGCCTTAGTGATAAGCGTGGCAAAGAACTGCTCGCTGCTTCAGGTCAGGACTTCTCCAGCCACAACGAGGACATCAGTGCTTAGGGAAAATGCCGAGGAGGGTAAGTCTGGTGGCCAGAGTGGTTTTTCTGGGGGAGTGGGTGGGGCTAGCCAGGCTGTCTTCGGAACTGTAGAACTGACTGTTCCCCCACATACTCTGGCCCAGAAGAAAAAAAAAAAAAAAAAAAAACTGGATACAGCGCCTGTTGTTGTTTGCTGTGGTGTGTTACAACATGGCCTGGCAGCCTCCCGGGCTTTTCTTCCTCCTGGAAGAGTCTCCTCTCGGAACATGTGACAAGTCCACACAACCCTGCAGATTGGCCCACACTGCCCCTAGCTGTTCACTCAGTTCCTAAGCCGTTCCAGGTCTGCATGCTTTGTGAGCTCACAGCTTCCCACCTTCTGGGAGAGCCCTTCTTCACTCTTCTTTGTAGACACGTGCCACAGAACTAACTGGGGGTTACTCAAGTGTGGATGTCCCTGCCTGTGAGCCCGGAGCTGTCACGGGCTGGTACGGTGCCTTCTCACCTCCGTGCGCCCTCCTCCACACAGGGTGCAGTTCTTGCCCACTAGATGCAAAACCAGCTGGCATCAGTGAGCAGGACGGTTGCTATCCACATGGCGCTGTTGACCGAATTCATGTGAGCAGCTTGTGGCTCCCCTGGGAGGCTGGTTAAGGGGAAGTTTCCCGTCACTGAGACAGGACCCCTGCTCAAGAGGAGGTTCCTGTGTCAGTTTTGTCTTTTCTGCAGAGGTCTATGAAGAGAGGAAAGGAATGACCATACCATCCCCCGGCATGGTGACATATAGAAGGCCTTCAAATATTCTAAAGTATGACAATGCAAAAGAAACAAAAATAAATAACTAAAATAAAAGCAGAGAGAGACAGAGGAGAGGAGGAGGAAGAGGGAGAGGGAGGGAGGGAGGGAGGGAGGGAGGGAGGGAGAGAGA